ATATTTTTTGTGTAATCTAAAGGACTTGATGCCATAAAGTTCTTTTATGGTTTTATTTTGGACGTATTTTCTTATAGTAGATGCAGGAACATATTTCAATTGCTTATTTATATGTGCATAAGAGCCCCATAAAGATCTGTCTTTTTAACTTCTTGTTTCTTTCGGTTTGTTTGGTAGATTGTGCAGAACGGCCCCTTGGATTTCCTAAAGACCGAAAGTTTTGTGTATTTAGTATCAGAACTTTATTTGGCGCTTCTTTTTAAATCCTTCACAAGGTACCACTTCTTTTTGATGAAGTCAAATTACCTTATTCATGAACAGTAAAAAAGTAATTTTGAACTAACTTGCTTTCTTTTTGTCAGTGCAACTTCTCAATACCATTTAAGCTGGGACGATATTGTTTCTGTCTTACTTACCACAGCACCAACACTTTTAAAACAATATGAGCCAAAGGTGGGTGTCATGTTTTACAGACAGTTCCTTTTGGTCTCTAGTAAATATTTTTAAGCTTCTACTGTTTCCACGTCTCAATTTTTCATCCGTTGATAGTTAATCATTTTTTTACGGTTTTCATGCAGATGGGTTTGAAATCAATTTTGGCTTTTCTTTTGGTTGGTTACAAGTGCATTGAAAGGGCTTCAACCGAAATTTCCCTTTCAAGAGTTCATGATTTTGTCCAGTGTCTAACTTCTGTGATGAAAACATATGTTACTGGTAAGCAATTCTCATAAGGCGCATTCAGGTCCTTCCTCTTTAGATTATTAGGCTGTAAAGAAAGCTTTTGAGCTTGTTTTAATTAGCATCTTGTTCAGTCTAGTACTCATAATTAACTCTTTCCCCAATGTATGGAGTCAGTTTATTTAATGTTTGTGTTTCTTTTCGCATGAAAAAATCAATCAAATATGCCTTGATCTCAAATTGGTCAGGGTCAGTTATACGACTCCTCTATATCCATTTCACTCTATTCAGGTTCTTGTCAATCCAGCGTTAAATAATTTGTCAGTTAATGCAAATTAGGCTCCAAACTAGAGATCCTTCAAATCTGGAAATTCTTGGAAACATGAAAAAAAAATATTCTTGAGCCAGATTGTGAGCTCCAAGTTAGATTGCATAATCTAGAGAAAGTGCTGTTTTCCATTTTTTGATTTCCAATCTTGAAGTAGTCCACAGTAACTTATTTATCGTACTTGAGTGATGGTTATTTGCTTTCAATACAGATATCTCTGAACTTGGAAATGACAGCATTGGTTACTTGATGACAATAACAAGAACTTGTCTGACTGCGAGTGTTATTTTGGCTGAGAATTGCACTAAAGGAATTCATCAGCTTGAGAATAAGAGGTCCAACTTACATAAACTGCTGCTGTTGAAGCTTGCTCTCTCTCTTGAACAGACTACTTCATTTGCTAAACTAGCTTTTGAAATTCAACTTCTTGAAGAAAATCAAGGATGTAAGCCAGTATTTTATGGCATGATATGCAATGCCACCCGGTGCTTCAGGAGTGCTCTTACTGATGCTGACATTCAGGTAAGCAGATCTTATTTCAAATGATGCTTTTGTTCACTGGTTAGCGTACATAATTTGTCTACTGCAGGTCCAAGCAATTGGGTTGCAAATACTGAAAGGCGTGCTAACAAGGAAAATCAATTCGGAGTACTCATTCTTCGTATTCTTTGTTGGGGAACTTGTTGAAGACCTTGGGTCTGTAATCCAGAAACTCTTTAAGGTAGCCAAAGTTCAGTTTTATGTATTTTCCACGTGTAAATTTAAATTCTTGTATTTGGCGCCAGGAGCTGGGGTGGACAATAGATTTGAATTTCGCGTTCTTACAGAACCTGATAGTTTTCTATTGATGGCAGACACCTATGAACAGGGAAGTGGTGGCTATTGCTGGGGAGTGTTTGAAGGTTTTAATGCTTCTTCAGACACTTTCAAGAACTAATGAGTGTCAGAAATGCCTAATGAATCTGTTTTTGGAAGCTGTTCTCCTTTTTACAACGTCAGAGAATTCTTCTCAGGTTCTGCTATGTATGAAACTTATGTTTGCTTTGTTTGCCTTCACTGGCTGATTGTGTTCTTGTTTACTTTGTAGGAAGCACGTGATTTGAAGATCACAACTATAAAATTGGTTACACAACTGGCTCAACTCCCTGACTCATCTGCTTGTATCAAGGAGGTTTTACTCACAATGCCCATGATGAGAAGACAACAATTGCAGGTTATAACTTTATTATAATATGTGCTCTTTCTTGATACTTTCTAGTTCTTCTGATATCGTAAGATTGACAAGTAAGGTAACTGTAGAGGTTAAGAACCTTGTACTACTTTCATACCTTGTTTTAGTATTAATTAAATGTTATTGTAGTTCGATTTTTTTCGGGGGGACAAAACTTCAGATCATTGTTTAATTTGTTGTCTTAAATGAATTTGAAATTTGATTGGAATATAGTTATATTTGGAAGTGCATCAAAAAAATTTTGATGTTTCAAAACAGTAGTAGCACAGAGATTGTCGCAAGGGAGTGCTTCTCTTATGTAGGGTCCACCAGCCCTTTCCCTTCTTTTGGGATTTTGACTGCGAAATCTGGCATCAAGGTTTTAACTGGAGATTTTTTCCTCTCTTAACACTAACGTCTGGCAGTAAACTATGGCTTTAAAGGATTTTATAGTTTTATGCATGTATTGAGTGGCTCAATATGACTTAATACAGTTTTGGTTAGCAGAAACCAATAAGATATTCATAGTATTGAATGTTATGCTTGCAGGATATAATACGTGCTTCTGTGATGCAAGACCAGAACCAGAAACAAGTCAATTCCACTGGACCATCTTTTATTATCAAGTTGCCTGCAAAAATAGAGGAAAGTAGAAAAGAGGAAATTATTGTTTCAGCTTCTTGCAGTGAAGAGGTGGAGGACAATTCCGAGGAAGAGGAAGAAGATGATTGGGATACTTTTCAGTCTTTTCCTTCTACGAACGAAGTTGATCCTACTAAAACTGCGTTCCAGGATTCTCGCTCAATTGAAAACACAATTTCAGATGATGGCTTTAAGGGAGAATCCATTTCTGTACCACAGGATGAGGTAGAAGAAACTACTGCTACAATTTCAGATGGTGGCTTGAAGGGAGAAACTATTTCAATACCGGAGGATGAGGTAGGAGAAATTACTGCTGAAAATCAAATGGCTAGTGATGATGAGACTCTGTCAGGCAATGCAGATAGCAGCAACCAGACACAGGATCTTAATGGTTCCCAAGATGGCTTCCATGATGACAAGTTATCTGATGCTCACCACATGGAGAAGGATAGAGCAGTGTTACACCATGGTGATGTGATCTTGCCTGATTCTCAGTCTGAGGTAGGAAAAGGCCCTGAAACGTGTGAAAATCTGGAGGTCCAAAAGATAACAGGCGGCAATTTGTCTTCTGAAGTGGGGGAACATGCTGAAGATGTAAAAGCACATGGTTCCTCTTATGAGGATCATCAGAGAAGTAGAGAGGAATCTAGTGAAACAAATGAAGGTGCTTTTCCGAATATTCAATCTGCTGAAATACAAAGCATGCCACTTGATGACCGCAATGAAGACATGAAAGAACAAATTACACTTGATGATCACCATGAGGATGAGGAAATGAGAGACATCACCTCAATCAAGGATCACCAAGAGGGGAAGGATTTGAAAGACACAACCTCACTCGAGGATCACCATGAGGAGAAGGATTTGAAAGACATAACCTCACTCAAGAATCACCGTGAGAAGAGAAAAACAGATAACGAAGACCAACCTTCTGATATAGATCTGTCTGAGCAGTCTCTTAAAAAGTTGGAACAAACTACACTTGATGATCACCATGAGGAGAAGGATATGAGAGACATAACCTCAGTCAAGGATCACCATGAGGAGAAGGATATGAAAGACATGACCTCACTCGAGGATTACCATGAGGAGAGAAAAACAGAAAACGAAGACCTATGTTCTGATATAGATTTGTCTGAGCGATCTCCTAAAAATTTAGAACAAACTACACTTGATCACCATGAAGAGAGAAATGCAGAAAACAAAGACCAGCGTTCTAATATAGAATTGGCCGAGCAGTCTCCTAAAAATTTAGAAGGTGACGAACTAGTCCGCCTTGACAAAAAATGATGACCACGTTAAATTGCCTACAAAAGTCCAGGGTCTCTTTTGACCCAAAATGATTAGCAGGAAACAGTTGAAGCCTATAATGGCACAGTAGGCTGTATATTGAAGTTAAAATACAGGGACACCAAAATTAGAAAAGGTCACCACAATAGGTTTATGTAAAGTTAGTATTATTGTTGACAATGTTTGGCAATATTTATTGAAGATAGAAGAACTATTTTAGTGCTGCGTGAGGTTAAGGTTTTTTCATTGTAAAGGTATTCTTCTCCATGAATGTACTGCAGAGTGCTATATATTGTTTATCAGCTAATGATTTTTTGCTAGAGAGCGATCAGAGATGCTTCTTTAACTTTTCATATGCCATAAAGTCATTTGACATAGCCACGTTGAAACACAACGATTATTTCCACTACATTTAAGGCAATTTTTTAAAACTTATCAACGTAATCTCTCCTAATCTCTTGAATAACGGTAGGCTTAAATTACCCTTCATTTTTATAAAATGATTTCATTGCCATTTTGTTTCTTAGAGATTTTGCCTTTAAACTTTGAAAAACGGTAGAAGACCACACACCATTATTTGGTTAGGAGTTCAATGAAAACTCAATTTCTATCAGTGGCTCTTTTGGAAATTAATCAGCTCTTAAGACGTAATTATTACTTGTTTAATATTTTCGACGTGATGTTTTTCTCTAATTGTTTTTGACGTAATTAAAAAAAAAACTGGTAAAAAGTTATATGACTCGAAAAAGAAAATTAAATGAATTTTATAAAGTAAAAATAAATAAAAGCAAAAAACTCTTGAAAAAAAATGGGTTTAACGCGGGTTCTTTGATTAAAAACAAAAGGGGTTCCCATATGACGGCGCAGCGCCCGTAAAGACTACGCTATCGTTCCGTTAGTATCTTCTTGAATTCCAAAAGACTTCAATTGCAGTAACCAATCAATGGTGATGGGAGAGAAGCCAAAGAAGCTATTAATTTTATATGCATCTGAGACTGGTAATGCCATAGACGCCGCTGAGCGTCTTGGCCGTGAAGCTGAGCGTAGAGGATGCCCCGTCTTGTTGCTCTCCGTTGATGATTTTGACCCTGTAATTTTCCTTTCCTCTCCTCATTGCTTCAGAAACAATTACAGGTCTAATTAGTTAATCATTCTTTTTGTTAGAGTTCTCTACCGGACCAAGAAATTGTAATCTTTGTGGTCTCAACTACAGGTCAAGGGGACAACCCAGATTCTATTAAGGTTTGTTTGTTATCTCCATTAAGCTTCTCGTGTGTTTATTAGGTCCATGATATTTGATGTTTCTTGTAGGTGTAACTCCTGAAGACACTGTACATAATTGTAGTTTCTTTCTTTTTTTCGTTTTCTCGTTTTCTTGTCTTTTCTTGTAGGTGTTTTGGAAGTTTCTCTTGCAAAGGAATCTTACCCAGAACTGGCTTAGTAGAGTCAACTATGCTGTGTTTGGCTTGGGTGATTCAGGCTACCAGAAATATAATGTACACACTCGCTCTACCTAATAATACTTTTCATTGTTTATCTGCTATTTTAGCTAAAGATTTTCCAAAAGTAACTCGGTCTGATTTGAAGATTTGGATCAACTGGTTCAGTTCTCCCAGAGAATCTTGATGTCTATAATTTCAATTTGATAGGTATCCCATAGCACAAAGTCCAGATATGGGTTCTTAATGAATCATGTAACCAATATGCAGTTATACCATTCTCCTAAACAATACAAGACTATGAGTAGAACCAATCTCATTAGTTTTTGTGACTTAACAAGGGGTCAAAAGTTTATTCACTAATGTAAGGAGAATAATTTAGTTCTAATGTTTATAACAGCAAAATGGTTGATGACTAATATCTCAATACTTCACCAAATTACGAACTGTCACCAGCTATATATTCATTTCAAACAGCTGAAATCCATAACTATAAACTGGAAGAGAATGGTAAAGCACTGTATGGAGCAGAGAAGTCGCAAAAATGATTCTTCAGAAGTTGACTAGGCTTTTATGTTTTAACATGTTTTCATTGTTACTACATAGGAGGAACAGGGGTATCTACATCCTTTAAATATTTTCAATGCCCATGCATACAACAAGAATATGCTTTGCCATTTTCATCTCCTCAATGACTGGACATCCATTTTCATCTCCTCAATAACTAGGGACAGAATGATCGTATTAGTCATTTGGCGAATCCCGTATTTGAAAACCACTCTGATAAGTGAACGGGAACCCTATCGTCAGCTACGCAAGAACTTTACCAATATAGTCATATCATCTTGGAAAGTTTAGGGCCAGATTCTGGAGTGAATCCAGTGACCCAGGCACCAAGCCTACGAGATAGAGCTTATTGTTGAATTTCGAAATCAAATCTAGAGAAAAAAGATTATATTTTCAGCAACCAACTGATTTCCATGCTTGGTGCAATCCTCGTACTTTAATGTGCTTGAGAGATTATAATATCCTTCTTGACAGTTCTTATTTAACTGTGCATCACTAGTTTATGTTGACAAAGGTGGGAATTGGGAAAAAGTGAAAGAAAACATGATATTAGGATACCTCAACTGTACTGACAGAACAACCCCAGAACTGTGGAAAGAGAATGGTACTCTGAGGAGAAATGATAATAGCAGAAAGAAAATCCTTAGGGGTCGTTTGGTTTGAAAATGAGTTATGATGGGATAAGTTATGATGGGATAAGTTATGTTGGGATTAGTTATGATGGGATAAGTTGTGCTGGGATTATTTTTTATTGAGTGTTTGGTTTGTTGTATTCAAAATAATAAATCTTAAGAACAACATATAAGTTTACTAAAGTACCCTTCATGGATGTGAAAAGTAATGTACAAAAAGTGTTTAAAGGGATATTTTTGTCATTTAGTCATTTTATCCCAGGATAAGTTATTCCGGGATTACTATACCACCCATGAGAAGGGATAACTTACCCCGGTACTAATTATTAATCCCAGGATAAGTTATCCCAAACTTCCCAACCAAACACTAAATTAAGAGCCACAAAATAATTATCCGAGGACTATTTGTACCTATCCTTCACACCAAACGACCCCTTAAAGTTTAATCTTCCTACTTTTCTTTTTGAAACTCTTTTTACTCCAACTTTTTTGCCTTTTCTGAAATATAACTTTGGCGTGTTTTAGGCTTATCAGTTAAGTAATTGAAATTACTTTTCAACTTTGTCTTTCCATAAGATATATTTATTCCCTTTATAACAAAGACAGGTAGTGATCCTGGTCAATATCTGTGCTTTGTGTTTCTAGATGACTTTTTTGCTTGTCGGTTGATTTGTTGCCCTAGCAAATATTTAATCTAGAAAATTTTAGATTTATGAAATTATGTATTCCATCTTTGAATGTTGATGTATGGATTTTATTGCTGCAGTTCGTTGCAAAGAAACTTGACAAAAGACTTTCAGATCTTGGTGCGACAGCAGTGGTGGAAAGAGGTCTGGGAGATGATCAGCACCCTTCAGGGTATTGTTAACTTTTAATCTTGTAGAGGAATAGTAGATTTATTTTGCCTGATCATCTGCAGCGATTCCTGCATGAAGATCTGGCCTTCTGCACTGTGAATGCACATGTTATGTTGTGGATTGGTTGAATCAGGAAACACTCATAATGAAATAGGGTCTGAATTGTTTACCAATTCTCAAAAAAAATAAAAAAAATAGGGTCTGAATTTCATCACGTATCCTGTTTAGCTTGTCCTTTTCTTCTGTTGTTTCATCATCTTTCGTTTTTTTGCTCTTCTTTTGCCTCTTTTTGTGTGGAGAATGTAAGGATTATAATGTACTTCCCTAAGAATGGTGCTAACAATTCTTTACAGGTATAGCAAAAGGCAAAAGTATTCCCTTCTATTCCTGTAGGAATTCCAATTCCATAAATGCTAACACTGATTCAGCCTCATCTATGAATTCCTTGCACCAAAAGTAAAACAAAACAAAATTACCCTTTGGGGTGGCCCAGTGGTTTGGGCTTGGGACTTCTATGTTGGAGGTCTCAAGTTCGAAACCCCTTGCTAGCGAAAGCAAGGGGTTTGCCTTCTGGGTCAAGCTTGTTGCACCGGGCTTGCCTAGTGCGGGTTATCTCTCCTATGTGGTTTGCGAGCTATTGCATAGGAGCGGAGGTTTTACCCTGTGCGCACCCAAAGGGTAGCGGCTGTGGGTTTCCCTAGTCATCCAAAAAAAAAAAAGTTAAACAAAATTAGCAACAATTAAAAAAAATGCAATTAAACTTGATCATTTGGATTGAGTTAACACTATCTTCAAAGCACCTTTTTGAACTGAAAAATAATATTTTTGAACTAATCAAAAGCACCTTTCTGTTAACTTCTGTCCAAACAAGCGTGTTGTTTCATCATCTTTTGCAATTGTTAAGAAGGAAAATCCAATGTGATATACAGGATGATTATTTGTCCATTTAATAATTATTCAACTAAACCACAGGGATTGAATGACATTAAACTTCTTCAATCTAACTCTTCAGGAGACAGATCTAAAAGAATTTGCATGTTAGGATCTTGAATCTTCCTAGTTTTGTAGGTAATGGTAATTTAAGAATACAGAAGTTTTTGCTCTCTACGTGATTGTAGTTGATTACATGTGCTGAAGCTTCTTTACATTAGGAATACAATGGCTTTACTGCTTTGGAGAGGCTGCTCACCTGCTTATGTTGAGTGCTCCTCTTTCTTCGTTTCTTCTGAAATTTTTTCAAATACTCTAGCAGAATTTCAGGTTAGAGGGGGAGGGATGTTGGAGAGGGTAGAGGGGAGGCTCATTATCCACCGAGTTTCAAAGATGAAAAGACCGGATTTCTCAGTTATCATAAAAAAGAATTTTAGGAACTGCTCCTTGTCTATCACTTTATGTCTGTTCGCTTTATCATGTCATTCATCTGGTTATCATGGGCGCCATGAAGAATGTCTTGTTATTTAGCCGCTGTTCTATTCGAAGGTTGAATTGATGCATCAAATTTCCTTTTGCAGATATGAAGGTGCTCTGGATCCTTGGATGTCCACCTTGTGGAAAGCATTATACCAAAAAGATCCGAAATTATTTCCTAAAGGTCCAGAATTGATGACTTCAAATATGAGTTTGATGGATCAACCTAAAGTACAGATTACTTATCATGATGTTGCTGAAGGGACTTCAAACTTTTCATCTATCCCAGGTAACTTGCTAAATTGTACTTGAGGAATCAACATCTGCTTTAAACTTCAGGTCATTGTAGATTCAGTGTTCTGGCTGACAGTCAATAAAATTTCAGTGCATGAAAGCATTTATAAGCCTGGATTTATGGAGAAACTATCCCCTACAAGGAAAGATCACTATATATATATAAAACCTTTAATGATACAAAAGAGAACTCATACGTAAGTTTTTTGTTTTTTTGATAAGGAGAACTCATACATAAGTTTGTGTAGTTTGTTCTGGAGTACCTTCAGGACTATCAGGAATTTTTTACTTGTTATCCTGTCACTAATGAGCTTTGGAAAATCATTTTCTTTCTATTATTTTGATGCATGAGTGCATCTAATTATTGTTTCTTGTGCTTTTTGCTATTTGTTTTTCTGAATAAGCTGGAGTGTTTCTTATTTATTGTATGGCTTTTTTGGCCTAAATGCTTCTGTTAGTTGTCTTTCAACATGTAGTAGTGATAAAACCTGTGAATTTGCAGATGTCAAACTTCTCGAAATGCAGATTGAGAGCACGCGCTTCATATTGCCAGGAAAACTTTCTGGAAAGTACAGTCCCGAGTGCTTCTTAAAAATGGTACACGATCTCTATATACCTTTCTTTAGATTATGTGTCAATGCATGCACTGGAGCTGTCGCCTGTGGAGGTTGAATAGCTCCTGCTCCTGAAACAGAGAATTTTTGTTGTGGATTCACTTGTGATTCTTACCAAGCAAAAGTGATTGCAACAAAGTGCTAGTGTCTCTCTAGAAGAGTAGCATATATTCTGAGCATCTCTGAGCTCAAACAGAAATGACATATAATTGATATCATCCTTGAAGATATCATAATTAGTGTCATTCAGTTGAGGAATTTTTTTTTTTTTCATTAAGATGGAATTCTGAACCACTTCATCAACAAGATACATAACTCTTTTTCCTTGTGAGAAGTGCTTACTGCAGAAATATGGCACCAAAAACCCACTAAAGAGATGTTGCCAACACTTGTTTGAATATATTACTCTCTCTCTCTATCTATCTCTATATCTCTCTCTTCAATGGTGATGGTTGTGATGTAGGCATTGATATATTCTTTTTTTATTCACCTTATTGATGTAGGTTAAAAATGATCCATTAAGTAAGGCTGGCTCTGGGAAAGATGTCCGCCATTTTGAATTTGAATCTGTTTCATCTGTAAGTGCTGTACATTCTAATCTCTCTTTTACTCCTTTCACCTCATATGATCCTTTTGATGATTTCCTTTCTGATCTCAGAGTATTGAGTATGAGGTTGGTGATGTTGTTCATATTCTCCCTGGCCAAGATGCTGCAGCTGTAGATGCCTTCATAAAGCACTGTAATTTGAACCCTGAATCATATATCCGAGTATGTACTTGTCTACTTTCTTGACTCTCTTGCTGTCACTAGGACCCTGCTCCTTCAAATCTTCCTCCTAGACATTATTTTGTATTCATGCATCTTTAATATGGGTCTATTATCACATGGATTGCAAGTATTTGGAAATGTTAAGTGCAACTCAAAGGAAAAGTGTACAAGTATTGCAAAGGATTTGGGATATGGTAGACAAGGGAGCATTACCTAGTGGTAAAGACCCTGCACCTCTAATTTGGGATTTAATTAACCAAGGGAGCAAGTGAGAAAGGACCATTACTGGGCTCCTGAGTAGCGCATTTGGGGACTGCAGTTTACCATATTAAAAAGAACAAAAATAAGGAGTTCAAACTTCAATTAATTAAAGAGATACAATTAAAGGGAAAAGGCATTAGTACACCCCTGAACCAAGGTCGAATTTCCAGTTACACACTAACTTTCTGGGGGTCCTATTCTGAACTTTCTTAAAACAGAATAAATAACAGTGTGTTCTGTGGATCACTGTGCCAGCATGTATTCTGTGGGCTGTGTGGGAAGGAAGGAATTTTAGGTGTTTGAAGATGATTCTGCAGCTGTGCATAGACTAAAATACACTGTCCAAGTATTTTAGCTTTTGGGGGTTATATGAAGATTGTATATGACTGGTACTTTACTTGACTTCCTAAGCTCCATATGAGTACCTGTCCCCTTCTTGTGCTACTTTTGCTAATAAAATTTAACTTCAAAAATTTCAGTGGGATGGAACCTTTTGGAAGTTGAAGAAGTCAGAAATAGATAGGTAAGCAGCAGCACAAACTATTACAATACAGGCACCACCAAAACCTCCTTGTTGGAGAGCTAAGAGGGTGGGGGGATGGGGAATGTATTAGCACTTCTTGTGAGGGGATCGTATACAAAAATAGGTTAGATCACTTCAATCTCTAGGTTAAGTTCCTGAGGTCTTGTTAATAAAAGCATTGAAGTAGCTGAAGTTCATTTGCTTTGGATAAGTTAATGAGAATGTCTCTACCTCCACGAGGTAAGGTCTGCGTACACTCTACCCTCCTTAGACGACCCCACTTGTGGGATTTCGCTGGATATGTTGTTGTTGAAGTTAATGAGTCCATGTATACAAATCTGTTCTACAATGAGGAATTTGAGATTTATCATCTCATTTCTTTTCTCCCTTCTTTGTGGTGAGATTAGGGTTTGCAAATGTTAGCAATTTATCAATTGAAAAGGCAGATTTATCAATGTATGAACTCTTCTATTATTTTTTATATTTTATTTTTATTTATTTGGGGGGGGGGGGGGGGGTTGTTACTAAAGTGATAGTTAAAACTCAAAGAAAGGAACTCTTCAATTCTTATATTACTATATGAACATTTTTTTCAGGTTCAGGCTAATGATAATAAAGAAAATGAACAAAGTTATGATTTGAGAAATACATTGAAGGTCCCTGTAAGATTGAAAACTTTTGTGGAACTGGCAATGGATGTTGCATCAGCTTCCCCAAGACGGTATTTCTTTGAGGTAAGCCATGGAATGTCTGAATTTCTTATTTGTTCTTACGAGTAATATCCCATGACATTGTATAATTAATATCTTCTGCTGTTGTCTTTGTTATGTGCCTAGACGTCAATGATGCATCTTGTGTTCATCTTTTTTTGCTGCTTGGGGAATAGCATGTTATGCATGATCACCACATATCATAGTAATTTGATAAGCCATTTGGATCGTTGACTTCTTCAGGTTATGAGTTATTTTGCTACTGCCGAACATGAGAAGGAGAGGCTTCAATACTTTGCTTCACCAGAAGGAAGAGATGATCTTTATGAGTACAATCAGAAGGAACGTAGAACTGTACTGGAGGTAATGAAAATATTTCCACTCTTTGTATAGATTAATGAAGTTGCCTCGGAGTGGTCATTGGCATTTTCCCTTACTGTTGGGTTCTTCAATAATATGGTTTCTCTTATGGTAGATTTTGTTTCATGGAATGTATAGGTACTATAGTTTAAGAAGACATACTAAGAAGCAAGAAGTTGGCCCAGTTCTTTTGGAAGCAAAACTGGTTAGCCAACATTAACCCTGTCATGCATTCACATTACAGCATCTTGATTGTCAAATTAGAAAATAGCTCGAGTTGATATTTGGTCTAGTAATTAATCAGACTCTAAATGTGAAATCTAGAAATGAGCACATCTTCTACTAGTCCCTTTACTTGCAAGCAATGAAAGCTTGATATGTTAGTTAGGTAGCCAACACTATTTTTAGTTGAAGTATGGAATAAATAGCTACAGACTCCACATTTTTGTTTTGGAAAACATGTAAGCACTTGATCTTTCGCCTATAGAATGATCCTTCTACTAAATAATAATGCCTTCTCATGCAAGCTGACCCACCCTTATTTTTAAAAATGCCCATTTGTAGTTAACTTATCGATTCACAGGAGATAATTTTTTGATTTGGAAATAAATTATAAAAATATTTCTGCTGATAATGCCTCATTTTATTACACTGCTTGATATTTTTCTATTTTCCAATTTATATTGCAGGTATTGGATGATTTTCCATCTGTTCAGATGCCTTTTGAATGGTTGGTTCAGTTGGTACCTCCACTAAAAACTAGGGCTTTTTCCATCTCTTCTTCTCACTCAGCTCATCCAAACCAAGTGCATTTAACTGTTAGTGTGGTATCGTGGACAACACCTTATAAGAGGAAGCGCACGGGTCTTTGCTCGTCATGGCTAGCTGAACTTGATCCTCAGAAAAGTATGGTTATTGGAGTAATTTATAATTACAATGCCTAATTCATTTACCTCTTGTAACTCATTGATGATGGTTTTTGGATTATGTCAAACAGGTGGCCTCATACCGGCATGGTTTCAAAAAGGTTCTCTTCCTTCCCCCCCGCCTTCACTTCCTCTTATTCTAATTGGACCTGGCACAGGGTGTGCACCTTTTCGTGGATTTGTGGAGGAAAGAGCCCTTCAGAGTCAATCCGGTCCTACTGCTCCCATTCTTTTCTTCTTTGGTTGTAGAAATGAAGAAAATGACTTCTTATACCGAGATTTTTGGTTGTTTCATTCACAAAAGGGGGGAGTCCTTTCTGAAGAAAAAGGTGGCGGCTTTTTTGTTGCCTTCTCCAGAGACCAGCAACAGAAGGTTTATGTGCAGCATAAAATGAGAGAAGAAAGCTTTAAGATATGGAATCTATTAACCGAGGGGGCAGCTGTGTATGTCGCAGGCTCTGCCAATAAAATGCCTTCTGATGTGCTGTTGGCATTTGAAGAAATTGTATCTAAAGAAGGCGGGGTTCCAAAGGAAGCTGCAGTCAGGTGGCTTAGGGCATTGGAAAAGGCAGGCAAGTATCATGTCGAAGCATGGTCTTAACCGCTGCTTGTATTTTTCCATCTCACCTTAAAATTTTGGGATGAGGAGCCAAAAATCTGTGCCCTATTCAGCCAAGTTATTTCTACATGATTCATATTTACCATATTCATACGCAGAATTTGTGTCTAGTGTTCACAAAAAAGCAGGTTTTATCGAGAGAACAGAGTGCATCAGAAGGAAGAGTCGCTTGATCGTTGCCTAGGATAGGTTCCTTGTCATTTGGAGCTGAAAATCCAGAGCAATCCCTAATGGCTAGTATGGTGCGATATTTGTGTTGGGGAAATACAATTTATGTTTTGAGAATTAAATTCATGTGAGGTTAAGGATTATTGAGATATAGCATTTCTTATTATGTAATCCCAAAATAAACAGAAAAAACAAGGTTGGACCTACAAAAGTATATCAATGTTTTCAAGTAGCATGATTGATCTCTTTGGCATGGAAGGCAATATTACTGATTGATTAACCTTTTCTTCAAGCTTATATAGCTTGAAAGACTCTTTTTTAATATAGATTTAAAAGCAATGTGTAGTAAAGTGATTAAGACGCATTCATTTTTAATAATCAGCATGGTGATTGATGATCAAGAAGTTATAATTTAAATGGTAATGAATGCTACAAGATCAGATTTAGTGACTTCTTTACCCAATTATTCCTGTTAACTGCGGGAAAAGAATTGGTAGGGAGCACTTCCCCTTTAATGGATCTTAGGAATTAATCGCATACCACTGTAGGTATCGGGGACTTCTTTAAAAACGATATCATGGAATAAGAAATCCTATTCCTGGAGATTTCGTAACTACTCCAAAAATGAAAAATTTGACAAAGTTGAGTTTATTTTTTTCGACAAAAAATTGAATCTTAAAGAATTTGTAGGGAGCATAAGTTATTTATTATTGGGGATGTAATAAATGTAGTATCTCATGTTTTCTGCAAAACATATGTAATTGCTTACTGATCTACATATACTTGTATGTTTCTGTCTTCAACAACCCCCCACTCCCCAACATACACACAAGCAAATTCCTAGCTAAGAAAAGAATATGAAGGTAGCAGTTCATCCCTGAATAGCTTCTGTCACATGCAGCTGCTCTATCGTTGTTTTCCTGGCGAATGTGTTATGGTTACATGATTGCAAAGATGCTTGCCAGTCAACCATCCCTTAGTAGACTTGGATGGATCCAAAAAAGTCTTGCTAGTAGTGCTGCTGCTGATAGGAGAAGCATCAGTTCTTATGTACTATCTGACTACCCTTCAATATGATCACTGAGTGACCTGCTTTTATGCCTTGTTAAGATCCCTCTTCACCTGTAATGGTAAAAAAAAAATTAATGTCATGTCATTTGAAGTTTCAATCTTCTTTTTTTATGAAGTAAGAATCTGAAGCTTCACTCATAAGTAGTGATTGCCATTAAAAATAGTCAAGAAAATACCTTTAGCACATTCATTTTCACTGTTAACCTCTGGCTTTGATAGTGATATGTGACTAGTCTCATCCTCTGCACACAGATTGATACCACAATCAGCAGCAATATCATTAAGCATATCGCGTCTTTTCCCTGACCCTGTGTGACGTCTTGACAGCTTTGGTATCATCTGGAGAAATTTTCATGATCAGATTAGTTTGAGAAGTCATGAATATTTTAGGGACGAGAGAATAAAGATAGCTGTCCTACCTTTGGCTGCACGCTACAATTATTTCTTAATTCAACACATTGAGCTGCAAATTCATTCCCATATCTTGAGGTGAAAATCTCACGAAGTTCATGTAGCTCTGGGAATTCTCCCCATCTTGAAGCTGCATAAATCAAGCTTGATATTGCCTCTGCTAGCTCCTCAGGACATTCCCTGTTTAAACATTCGCGAGCACATTGTCAGAGAGATGCCCCAATCTCGCTAGTTGCAGATTTTGATAAGATATATACAAGTAAGTAGTACTCACCCTTTAGTTTTTATGAGCACCTTTTTTTCTATTAGGAGATGGCAATACTTTTCCATCATTGTAAGTGCATCTACAGTGTTCTGTTCCTTGATAACAAGTTCGACCTGTTAATAGTGAAAATGATCAGTAGTGATATTGCTTGAGTTGAGAAGAGGAAAATGGAATGGAGTATATTTTGGGAACTTACTCGATGAAGAGCATCTTCTTGGCGACCAAGATGAAGTAGTTGAGTAACATCAGAGCGGGCGAGTGAGCACCTAACTTGGTGTTGCTTTTTGAGAATGGAAATCCTTGAGATGGCAAGGTTAGCCAGTGTTGCAACTTTTGATGCCTTGAATTTTCTTCCAAAGAGTCCCATGTTTGTTTTCTGTTTATCAAGTGTCTTGGGAGCTTGCTACTTACTAGTAACTGGAGTGAAATCTTTTTTTTATATACACACACACTCGCACATACATGCAATTGAAGAAGTGGTCAAGTTGAAGTAGACAAATTGATTTCTTAATTCCCTTTGTTTGATAACGTGTTAAGACTCAATTATTTCAACCTTTGAACTTGTCAACAACTTTATTCAATCCATGAAGTCATGAATGGTTGATGGCTGTCTTGGAACATGTCATTTTCCATTTTAACTAATACTTTGAGTCGCTGTTGTTCAATTTGCCAAATTGTTAAAGGACTAGCTGTGCAGAAAGAGACCTAGCAGTCTTTTTACACTTTCTCCTGTTTACTTTTTGATATAAGACGTTTTCCTGTTTATTAACCAGTTCAACAGCTCTTTTGTGCCGACTCTTTCAACATGATTGGTTTGGTTTTTTTCACTTTTTTCTTGATTCACTTGACAAATGAATGTCGTATAAATATATTTATGGTTCCGACTTCCAACATAGTTGATTGAGTTGACGCTTCTAGATCTCAACCCACCAAGGGGAAACCAAAGAAATTACAGAACTCTTCCTCTATTGTGAAGTTTTAGAACAACCATGTAAAAAGAAACCAACGGAACTTTCAGCATTTGAGGCATGAGACAAGGGACTTTTTTCAAATTTCAACTAGGGATATTAAGTGCACATCCTGTAAATTAAACACAAAAGACACCTAGTACAAGGCAAGCAATCGATTTGGCAACTACGTGGCCATAGCCGCCATCCAAATCAAAAAAAGAAAAAAAAAAAGGATCCCTAGCTTTAAGGAAAGATGAAAGAGCTTGCAGGAACGATTTGACTGATATAATATGAATCATTATACAAAAGCGTCCAAGTATCCAAGGACAAAAGAGCTTGCAGGACGATTTGACTGATATAATATGATCCATTATACAAAAGGGGCCGAGTATCCAAGGCTAGCTGCTGCGAATGAGGAAATAAAATGTACTCCACATGGCAAGATAAATAGGAAATCGCGCAGATTTAAAATGAAGAGAAGCAAAACAACTAATAATGGAAACTATAACAGGTCAATAGCACTATGTTATATCCATGTCATTCGTCAAACTCATGCATGTGATCTAATAGATAGTTAGCAGCCAGCTCCTCATTTTTGTTGCAGGCAAAGTATACTTCCAATACTAAAGCTCGATCAAATCCCATAGCTTCAAGCTGCCAAAACAATATCACCAACCACAGTGGACAAGTACAAGAAAATTATGTTAGCTCACTAAAAAAAAACTTGCAAAGCGACCCATCAGCATTTTGAGATATCAAAGTAAAGGCATTCACATTAAACCGTCGATAATTGCATTTACATAAAACTTTATTTGATGAAGGACAAATAAATAACTTACACGTTCAATAGCCTCCCGCTCTTCAGGTGTAACAGTCACAGCCTGTGGTATTGCTCCTGCTGTCTGCCCTAACACATTCCTGATACACCATATAATGAGAAAATCAGTCTCGCATTCAGACACAAGATGGTAAAGAAAGGATCTAGAATAGATATAACACAAAAAACCAGCTCTTAAATGCAGTCCACTCAAAGCACTTTTAGTAGAAAAATAGATCCATCACAAATCAAAAGAAGAAGAATAGCAAATGCTCTTACCCCTCCCCTTCAACAGGTTCATTGATGAGGCGCAGGAAGTCCGGTTGATGTTCTTGAATAAGCCGCATCAAATGTGGATTTTGCTTACCCAACTCCTGGAGCATAGGCTGCAGATAACAAACATCATGGTTCAAGCATGTCTGGAAATGCTAGGAGCAAACAAACTGATCATAGCATATAATATCCCATACCTGCAATATCTGCGGATTGGCTTGCACCATTGCTCGAAGGGCCTGGAACTGTTAATGGAGAAGGATATGAAATTGTGATTTCAAACTAATAAAATCTAACTTGCAAAAAGCGTATAACCCACCTGTGGACTACTGCGTAGAAAATCCAAATTTCCAGCACCGGCATTTGAGCCAGCATTTGTTAAGCCCTGATTGCGTAAATACAAATTTAGGTTAACGTCACAACAAGTAACTAGGCAAATTTAAGTTTCTGGTATATTTACTACCTGAGGGAACAGATCTAGAGGATTAGCATTTGGTCCACTGGAAGGAACTGCTAGTTGTGAAGCATCCTGAGCTGCAGGGTTTATAGCCTGACCACTGGCAGGAGCAGCAGGTGTACGGGCAACAGGCGGAATTTCAGCTTGTTCAGGAATACCCTGAAAGAAATTGATATTGATGTGTTTCCAGTATAGGTCAAAGATGCAAGTACAGAAAATAAAACGCATACCCATATCTGCCTTAATAAGACTACAAACAGGGATCATATAATTATATTTTCTTACTTCATGAATTCAGTACCATTTCCTAAGCAAAACAGGTTTAAATGGATATGAAGCTCTAGGGATGAATAAACTATAAATGCAATGCAATGCACAAGGTTTAAAAGTGCATATTTTGGGTGACCTGGAAAAAATGTAATGGAAGGGCATTTGAGGAGCAGGAAAAAATTCAATGCTACACAATAAGAACAATTTGCCATTTAATGTGTATGATTGGCACACAGCAAGGAAACCCTTGTTTATACAGATGACTGGATGGGAATTTTAGAAGCTGGTTTTTTACAGTGAACTTCCTCTCTAGTAGACAGATGACGCTCTACAATTTTCCTCCACTGCGACTAATATATATTACATAAATCAAATGAATGTTTTAAATTCCATGTCCAATC